GACAAGAAAAAGTTAAAGGAGTTCATCACCACCAAACCGTTATTATATGAAATAATGAAGGGTCTTTTTGAAGAAAAAGATAAAATATATGAACAAACAAAATGGCAATGAATACATATCTATCAACAATGGAATCTACAAACAAAATGAACAGGCAGAACAGAAACATTCTTATAGATACAGAGAACATTTTATTGGTTGCCAGATGGGAGGGGGTTTGGGGGAATGGGTGAAAAAGGTGAAGGGATTAAGAAGTACAAATTGGTTGCTAAACTGACAAACCTCAAAGGGAAAGGGGCTGGGGGGGGGGGGGGAGAAGTAAACCAAAGAACTTACATGCATAACCAATGGACACAGACAATAGTGTGGGAAAAGGCGGGAGGGAGGCGGGAGTGGGGAGGAGGGAGTCAATGGGGGAAAAAAATGTGGAACATCTGTAATACACTCTACATTCAACAATAAAGATTTAAAAAAATAAATAAAATAAAAATAAAAAATGTTTTTTTCTTAATTGATTTATTTTAGAGAAAGAAAGGGAGAGAGAGAGAGAGATAGAAACATCTATGAGAGAGAACATCTATTGGCCACCTCCTGCATGCCCCCCGCTGGGGATCAGGTCCACAACCTGGGCATGTGCCCTGACTGGGAATCAAACCAGCAACCTCTTGGTGCATGGGTCAATGCTCAACCACTGAGCTACACCAGCTGGGCCGTTTTTTAACACTCTCTTGTATCATGACATTTTATCATTTCTTTTTAAGTTTTGGTGATTTTCAAGTAAAAAATAATACGATTCTCACTGTAAAATAATTCAAACATTATAGCCCTGGCCAGTTTAGCTCAGCAATTAGAGCGTCAGCCTGTGATCCAGAGAGACCCGGGTTCGGTTCCGCTAGGAGCGCATACCTCGGTTGTAGCTTGTCCCTGGCCCTGGTTGGTTGTGTGGGTGGCAGCCACTCGATGTGTCCCTTTCACGTTGATGTTTCTCTCTCTCTCACTCTCTCTCTCTCTCTTCCTCTCTCTTGCTCCCACTCTGTCTGAATAAAAAAAATGGAAAAATGTCCTCAGGTGAGGATAAAAAAAATTAAATAAATAAAAATAAATAAATAAATAAAATTTCGCCCTGGCCAGTTTGGCTCAGCGGTTAGAGCGTTAGCCTGCGGTCCGGTGAGACCCGGGTTCGGTTCCCGCTAAGGGCACGTACCTTGGTTGCAGTTTGTCCCCGGCCCTGGTTGGGTCGTGCGGGTGGCAACCACTCGATGTGTCCCTTTCATGTCGATGTTTCTCTCTCTCTCTCTCTCCCTCCCACTCTATCTGAACAAAAAATGGAAAAATGTCCTCAGGTGAGGATTAAAAAAATAAAATAAAATAAAAATAAAATAAAATAAAATTCCAACATTATCGATTAACTTTATCCTTTACCAAAAGGAAACTATGATTGAAGGGTTTTTTGTTTCTTGTAGCCCTTAATATGTATCTACATATGATATTATTTTTCATATATGCAAGCCTACTGTATTCTTCTGCAATTTGTTTTATTCACTCAAGTGTATAGACTTTCCATTTTAGTACTTATAGATCTTTCATTTTTTTTTTTTTGGTTGGGTACAGTGAACTTTATTGATGGTACATGACAAAGTAGGGCTCCCTAAGCCCCTCCCCTTCAGGGGGTCTGGGATGGAAACTCGAGGTCAGGAGATCTCAGTGTGTTGAGGGATCAGTTTGGGACAAGGACTCCCCAGCAGCTGAGGGCCTCTCTTCTCCTCGCTGGGGTTGGTGGTCCAGGGGGCTCTTACTCCTTAGAGGCCATGTGGACCATGAGGTCCACCACCCTGTTGCTGTAGCCGAATTCATTGTCATACCAGGAAACAAGCTTGACAAAGTGGTCGTTGAGGGCAATGCCAGCCCCAGCATCGAAGGTGGAGGAGTGGGTGTCACTGTTGAAGTCACAGGAGACAACCTGGTCCTCAGTATAGCCCAGGATGCCCTTGAGGGGGCCCTCTGATGCCTGCTTCACTACCTTCTTGATATCATCGTATTTGGCAGCTTTCTCCAGGCGGCAGGTCAGATCCACAACACACATTGGGGGTGGGGACACGGAAGGCCATGCCAGTTAGCTTCCCGTTCAGCTCAGGGATGACCTTGCCCACAGCCTTGGCAGCGCCGGTAGAAGCAGGGATGATGTTCTGGGCAGCTCCTCGGCCATCACGCCACAGCTTCCCAGAGGGGCCATCCACGGTCTTCTGGGTGGCAGTGATGGCGTGGACCATGGTCATGAGTCCTTCCACGATGCCAAAGTTGTCATGGATGACCTTGGCCAGGGGGGCCAAGCAGTTGGTGGTGCAGGAGGCATTGCTGACAATCTTGAGGGAGTTGTCATACTTGTCATGGTTCACGCCCATCACAAACATGGGGGCATCAGCAGAAGGGGCAGAGATGATGACCCTCTTGGCTCCACCCTTCAAGTGAGCCCCAGCCTTCTCCATGGTAGTGAAGACACCGGTGGACTCCACAACATACTCAGCACCAGCATCACCCCATTTGATGTTGGCGGGATCTCGCTCCTGAAAGATGGAGATGGATTTTCCATTGATGACAAGCTTCCCGTTCTCAGCCTTGACTGTGCCTTTGAACTTGCCATGAGTAGAATCATACTGGAACATGTAGACCATGTAGTTGAGGTCAATAAAGGGATCATTGATGGCGACAATATCTACTTTGCCAGAGTTAAAAGCAGCCCTGGTGACCAGGCGCCCAATACGGCCAAATCCGTTCACTCCGACCTTCACCATCGTGTCTCAGGGCTGAGGCTGCTGGCACTGCGCAGGAAGACGCGGCTGTCTGACGAATTGGAGGAGCAGAGAGCCGATCTTTCATTTTTGAAAACAACTGCACAGTATTCCCTAAAATGGGCATTCCATAGTTTAACCATTCTTCTATTGGAAAGGTGTTATTAATGGCTATTTAAGATGTTTTCACCCCCCCCCCAATGATTTATAACTCAAGTAGAACACACTGGAATTCTTCAATTGTTAAATGACATGTTAATAAATACATTATTATGAATATTATTACTTACATTCTAAGTACACATTCTTGAAACCAAATGATATTTGTAAGCCCAGTAATATTGGAATATTCCTTACATATAAACCTTACATATAACACTTATAGAGATAATCACATATAATTTGTAATTCCTAACTTACTATTTATGATTTCACTTTTTAGTAAACTGATACTATTTTCTCTAACATAGCCATAGGGTGCCTTACATGACCAGTGTTTTATTCTGAGAATGAGCTTAAAAGTTTGTTTGGGTTAATTCAACAGGTAATTTTGAGAACCTGCATGTAGGTTCTGGGCACTGGGGGACATAGACGGAAATAAGACACACAAAAATCATTACCCTCATGGAGTTTTTAATGTTACAGAGGGAATTAATAATAAAAATAAGCAAGTAAACAAATTATTTTGAGCAAAATAAAGCAGGGTAAGGGGATGGGAAATGGGGGGGGGGGCAGTTACACTTTTCAGTAGGATGGCAGGGCTTGAAGGCCTCACTGAGAGGGCAGTGTCTGATCATGCCCTGAAGGAGATTAGGGAGAATAAACCATGGAATATGGGGATGGAACACCTTGTAGGTAGAGGGGATCAAGGCCCACCAGGCAAAATGTGCTTCGAGATTTGTTCTAACCACAAATGCTTTATTCCAATCCTGTCCATTAAACCCGGCAGCTTTCTTTATATTTGTGATAGCTTTGGAATGGCCTAAACAGAAATGGCTGTTTTCCCAACCTGTCCAGGAATGCACCAAAGCAGGTTAACAGTGTAGTCAGTATAGATGAACAGCAAAAGGCCTCCAAACTTTCCCAGATCTTTGGGCCCTTACTCCCCTTCCCCATGACATTGTTTGCATTTGTCTTTCAAGGTATTTTCATGACCCGCCCTGGATCAGTCATGAATGTACTCATTAGACCTGTGCTGTCCAATATGATAGCCGCTAGCACTCGAAATACAGCTGGTATGAACTGGCTGTGCTGTACATATAAAATACCAGATTACGAAGAATTCGTCCAAAAACTGTAAAATATTGCATTTAATATTTTGCAATGCTGCTCACACGCTGAAAAGACACTTTTCAAAATGTGGCTATCAGAACATTTAAAAGTAGGTACGTGTCTTGCATCCTAGTATTCGGACAGCGCGGGATCACACTGCGCTCCAGGTGGGGAGGGACCCCCCGCCCTCCTCCTGGAAGCAGCGCCAGGCAGCTGTGGCAGTTCCCAGCCCCGCCGGCGGCACCTCGGGGGCAGCGTGCGGACGGGCAGCGCTGCAGCGCCAGTGGGGGACTCCTGCGGCCGACGGCACCGACAGCGCAGCGCGGAGGCGCGGCCCCGGCCGGGAAGGCGCGCGGGGACCGGGGCGGAGGACACTGCAGGGGGTGGCGCGGCCCGGCTCGTCGCTCCGCCTCTTTGCGGCAGAGCCCAGCCGGGGCAAACCGGTTCAGCGCACCGCGCTACCCAATCCTCCGCACGGCCCGCCCCCAGCTCTCGGTGGGAGACCGGGAACCTGCGGCCAGAGAGGCGGCTCCGAGCCAGACGGACGGCACCGACAGCCAACGACGAGCGCCGCTGGTGCCGTGGGTCAGCGGACGACCAATGGCGTGAGCGGGGGCGGGCCCTCCGTCGCTCCACCCTCGCCGCCCTGTGCGGTCCGGGAGTCGGAGAAGACGGCGCGGGAGGAAGAGGACGGCGGGGAGGGGCCTGGGCGGCTGGATCCTGCGCTTTGTGGCGCCCGCGGCCTCCGCGTCGGCCCCGCGCCGCCCTTGGCGACCCCGGCGAGCGCTGCGGCGCGGGCAACGTCTGCCTGGCCGTCGCCCCTCCGCGGCCGCGAGCCCCGTCTTTGTCCGCCGGCCCCGCGGCGGCCCCGCTTTGTCCCGGCGCCTGCCTCCCCGGCCGGGGCGCGCTGGCGTCGTCCTCGTCCCCGTCGCCGCCCCCCGCGCGCGGCCGGGCCCTGCCCTCCATGGTGTCCCGGCCGGAGCCTGAGAGCGAGGCCATGGACGCGGAGCTGGTGGTCACGCCGCCGGGCTGCACGCACCTGAGCAGCTTCAAGGTGGACAACTGGAAGCAGAACCTGCGCGCCATCTACCAGTGTTTCGTGTGGAGCGGCACGGCGGAGGCCCGCAAGCGCAAGGTGAGGCCCGCGCCCCGAAGCCGGGCCGTGCGGGGCCGGGGAGAGCTGCCCGGCGCGCGGGGGGTGCTCCCGGGCCCGCTGGGGGCGAGAGGGAGAGGTTAGGGAGGCTTGTGGGCCCCCCGCGGTCCCCACCCCGGGCTGCGCGCGCCGGGGGCAGCACGGCCGTGCTCGCCGTGCTCCCCGAGCTCGGGCCCCTCCCCCGCCCCATCCCCCCTTCCCGGGTCCCCCTTCCCGGGTCTCCCTTCGCCTCAGCTGGGGCGGGGGTGGGTCGGAGCCGGGCCTCGGGAGGGTGTCCAATTTCGCGTGGACGAGGACAGGTCCGCGAAGGCGCGTCGTCCAGGTTTGCCTTGGAAGCCTAGTCGCTGGCGTTTCAGAGCGGGGTGGCTCCGAGGAATCCTCCAGGCGTGGGAGGGTTCGGGTTCGGTTCGGATGGGTGCACGGAATAAAATATAAGACAAAGAGCTCCAGGGGCAAAGACTCCGGGGCCTGTGTGCCGGTTGCACTGGGCCAGTTCCCGGCCTCCATCTTGAGAAGCGCTCTGGGCCCGAGTGAGTGTCCACTTGGGCCGGGGGAACGGAACCGTGTTTCGGTACTGGGTTGTTGGGGCGCAGTTACTGCGGTGCTTGGCTGAAACGCCCCCCGGTCCGGGTCTGCAGGAACTGATGTGCACAGGGAGATGGCATTTGTCGCACCATCCGGGTCTGGGCGTGGTCGGCGGCGGGAAGCGGGGAGGGAGACCTGCGCTTTTAGAGCCGGATCTGGGAAAACCGCGTCGTTACCAGCGCGACGAGGGAGTTACGGGACGCCCTTGAGCGATGGAGGATTTAACCGAGACCGAGTCTCCTGGGGCGGAGGAACTTGGAGTGTCCTCCTCAAGAGGCTTGAGCAAGAAACGAATCACCTCCATTAGACGCCGAGGACACCATGCTCACTGTTACCTTCCTTTTCAGATACACATTCCATCTGAGTGATCAGGCTTATTAAAAATTGGGAATAAGAAAATAATGGTATTATTTTATCTGAATAAGGCTTGGTTTTCACAGTGAAATGCAGTTTCAAAGTTCACAGTCTGAGATTGAGAATTAGGCCATTTCCACCTTCAGTGGCATGTGTTATTTGTTTTATTGTTTGTTTGTAACCAAGGCTCGAACCTGAAATCTAGGTATGTGCCCTGACCAGGAATCGAACCAGAAACCTTTTGGTATACTGAAGGATGGCTCTAACCAACTGAGCCACCCGGCCAAGGCTGGATTAGGTTTTTTTTTTAAATGTTAGTTGCTTAGCTTGTAAACTGTTAAGAAACAACTTGAGCTATAGTCAAACAAGAGGTGGTGATAAATGTTTTCGAAATTCAGGTTTGCCAGTATTGCAGTGTACAAACCCTGAACTGTATAATGCCCTTTACCTGTTTTTTCCTCAGTTCTGGGGGGATTTTTTCTTGCATCTGTTTGAATTTGCGTCACTAGCACTCTCTAGTGGTCCAGTCAGGAAGAGTTGGTTTCAGAAAGTTTAACCCTTGATGATTAACAGTGTTACTGTCTGATAGTTTGCATAGAATTCTCAGCAGATCTATATGCTTGGTACTTTTTTGTTTGTAACGATATGAGGTTTCCTATAAAAATGCAAGTTTATCAAATAATCTCTGTAAATAAAGGTTCCTTGTGAGTTTGACACTCAGCTACAGTGTAACTACAGAAAAAATCCCTGGATGAATAGGAGTTAACACTTTCCTTATCTAAGGACAGGGAGGTAATGGTCTTTGTATCCAAACGTTGATTCTTCTTTTGATAGGCAGAGATCGAGGAAACAAGGTCAGATTTGATAACTTTCTGACGGATTAGGCTTGAATTGCACTATGGAATGTGGAAATGTTTCCATGATTCTGAATTCATTGCTGTCTCAGTGGCCTGTCTGCATTTCTGGTGGGTGTTAAATGTAACAGGTGTCTTGCTCCTTAAGGGTTTATGTATGAAGATAGACATTAGGAGTAAAAACATAGGGGGTTTTCAGTTCTGTTGGACAGCATGACAACATAATCTGCATTACATTTTGAACAGACAGACACTTTGGGGTACAGATATTGTTTTTTATTAAAATGATCATTTCTTTGAACCGTTCTGTGACTAAAAATTTTGTTGTTAATCTTCCCCTGAGGATATTTTCCCATTGATTTTTAGATAGGGAGGGAGGGAGGGGAAGAGTGGAACAGAAACATCAATGTGAGAGACACATTGATTGGTTGCCTCCCACACGACCCTGACTGGGGCCAGGGACCAAACCTGAAACCCTCCATTTTATGGGCTGATGCTCCAGCCACCGATCAGACCGGCCAGCGCTGTGACTAAAGTTTTACAGCCACTTGTCCTCAAAACATAGAGCCCTTTTTGTGGCCATAGTAAACTTTTCCAAATATACTTGACCACAAGTGAAGAAGAGTTGTCAAGCATACTGTCAGTGATTTTGGACCGTTACTGAGGGTGGTTTAATTTGGGCAGTAATCTGGAGGTTGGGAAACTGCTTTTGAATGTTTCTGAGGCATAGAGTTTGGTGCCTAAAACAACTCTTTGGGTAGAGATTCTTCGGAAAGTGTTTTGTTTGGGAAGGGGGCTAGAAAGACGGGTATCTGTATGGGAAAGGATAGGTGAGAGGCTCTCTCTCCTGAGGTCCAGAAGTCACACCTACTCTAGCATGTTCTTTTCTGTTTCTGTGTCTGGTTTTCACACCACTGTTTATAGCAATGTGGCACCCTGTAGAAGAAAGTGGGATGATCCTCACTTTTTTGAAATTCTTGATTCTCTCTGCAGTCAGCTCTTGCCCCTGGGTTTTTGTCCTGATGAATTGAAGTCGTAATTGTTAAAGGGCCATTTATTTTATTTTATTTTTTTTTATCCTCACCCGAGGACATTTCTTCCATTTTATGTTTAGATAGAGTGGGAGGAAGGGAGAGAGAGAAATATCGACGTGAAAGGGACACATCGAGTGGTTGCCACCCACACGACCCAACCAGGGCCGGGGACAAACTGCAACCGAGATACATGCCCTTAGCGGGAACCGAACCCGGGTCCCTCAGGACCACAGGCCGACGCTCTAACCGCTGAGCCAAACCGGCCAGGGCGTTAAAGGGCCATTTAAACAGTAGGTGTCACATAGCAAGATAATATCCTGCCTTAAAATGTAGGCTGTTTGGCCCTGGCCAGTTTGGCTCAGCGGTTAGAGTGTCGGCCTACGGTCCAGAGACACCCGGGTTCGGTTCCCACTAAGGGCATGTACCTCGGTTGCAGTTTGTCCCCGGCCCTGGTTGGGGTCATGTGGGTGGCAACCAGTTGTTGTGTTTCTGTCACGTCAATGTTTCTCTCTCTCTCGTCCTTCCTTTCTCCCTCCTGCTCTATCTGAAGATAAGTGCAAAAAAAAAAAAGTCCTTGGGTGAGGATAAAAAAACATGTAGACTGTTTGTAGATGTCCAATGAAAATTTCTACACGTAGGATAATTTTAGCTTTAACATCATAATGGAATACATAGGTAATTCTAGATGCCCAGATGCTGGTAAATTTTACTAGGGAAACTTAAAATTTATGAATCCATGTTTTTTTTAAAAAAATTAATATGAATATATTAATATTACTAATAATATCAATATGTTCTCAATGTGTATAAAGAAGCTACCTTAAAGACTTATGGAATCTTCTGTGGCCCCAGATAATCACTATTAAGATCTATTTGCTGCCTGGTTCTTCTAGATCTTTTATAAATTGCAAATATGTGTATTCATACAAAGCAGTTACATATTTTTGCTTTTATTGTTGTAAGTATACATGCTGTATATATTGTTTCCTTTTTTTACTTGTTGCCTGTGCATATAAATCTCACTTATTCTTTTCAACTGTGTAATTAACATTCCATTGAATGGTAACAGCATTATGTATTTTCCCTTCCATTTACTTTATGTATATATATACATACATATATATACATACATACACACACACACGAATGAGATCTCCCCACATATATATGGTTTTGATTTGGAGAATTTAAGAATTTGTAAAACTTAATCTTAGAGAAGGAATAGTTTTAAGCAGTTAACTATATGTGTCTTGGTTTGCTGAGGGATTGAAATGTGATTGTTTAAATCAGTGGTTCTCAACCTTCCTGATGCCGTGACCCTTTAATACAGTTCCTCGTGTTGTGGCGACCCCCAACCATAAAATAATTTTTATTGCTACTTCATAACTGTAATTTTGCTGCTGTTGTGAACCGCCATAGGAAATAAGTATTTTCTGATGGTCTTAGGGGACCCCTGTGAAAGGGTCGTTCGACCCCCAAAGGGGTTGCAACCCACAGGTTGAGACCCGCTGGTTTACTTGATGTCAAACCTGAGATGCATTTAAAAAGAGCAGTTTTGCCTGGCTGGTGTAGCTCAGTGGATTGAATGTCTCCCCACGGACTGAGAGGTCCTGGTTCGATTCCCGGTCAGGGCACATGCCGGGGTTGCTGGCTCACTCCCCACTATGGGGTGTGCAGGAGGCAGGCAGTCGATGTTTCTCTCTCTCAATAAAAATGTATTTTAAAAATAAAAATAAATAAAACAAAGTGCGGTTTTATGGATAGGTGACAATGGGAGCAGGGGAGGTAGTTAAGAGGAGAGAAAGTAAAATGGAAAACATGAAAGTTTACAGTGGTATAGCCTTATAAAGCTCAAGCAACGCCCTGACTTCCATTGTGTACCTTTGCAAAGCGACAGTGTGGATGATGAGTTTATAGACACTTGCTTGAGAAGAGTAGCTTTTGTGGTCGATGTTTTAGTAGGGTGGTGTCAGGCCTTGGGTTGTCCTGTGGAAAGGGAGATGATTTCAGTTGAAAAATGGTCTTGTATTATATATCTATTTTAAAAAAATATTTATCTTTATTGTTGAAGGTATTACAGATATTCCCCCTTCTTTCCCCATTGACCCTCTCCTCCCCACTCCCTCGTACCCTCTGAGATTCCATGAATCTGTTT